TACCTACAGTTCTCCAGGCAGCTATGCCTGGGCCTCACCATCTTCTAAATGAAAGGTTTCCTCCTAATCTCTAATCTGAATTTCCCCTCTTTTTGTATAAAACCATTCTCCTTTGTCCTGCCACTGTCTGCCCTCATGAAAGGTCAACCTCCCAAAACCACCAGTTCCCTTTCGTGCAGCACCAGCCCAAAGAGTTAGGTGACCAAGGCAGTATTTCTGGCTTGCTGAGTAACCATTAGTAATCCTGTGACCTCCTGGTGACTTAGTTTTCCCACAGGTAAAATGGGAATAATGACTCTGTCTTCCTTTGTAGAGCACTTTGAGAGATATGAATAAAATGAGACACAGTAGATAACACTTAGATATTATTAATTATACATTTGGTTCATTTGTATGATGTGGAATTGCTTTCTTCATACAAGCAGATGTTGTCTTTGCATCAGGGTTTCCTAAATTGTCTGCCATCGGCTCCTTTAGAAGATTTTGTGCAAAAACACAGTACCTTACAAGGAGGGACCTCTCTGGCCCCATCTGCATGTCCAGAGACTGACTACAGTGATAGGAAACTGTACACCAATGAAAGCAGAGGGAAGAAGCAGAAAGTGACATTCTTGAACATGGGCAGCAAACAGAAAAAAGCTCCAAATCATTCTGCGCTTCTGTACTATGAATGATTTCTTCCCACATTTCGCACCGAGGATTTATAATGCATAGAACTGATGTTGAACCATGAAGCTCCGCAAATACAAACCACGCTGACAGCTTCTGAGAGTTCGCACACTGTATGGGGGGAAATGTAAACCCTCATAAAAGTGGTGCCAGGGGTGCTGAGCTCCAGGGAAGCTAAGGAAAAGTGGAAGGGCTCAGATCTCTCGAAAGCCAAAGCAGGACATGATGCTTTATTCATTTCTGATTTCCCCATGTTAACCTTGGGGCAGTTGAGATGATGAAGATACAAGTGTGTTTTGGAGGGGAAACCAAGCAAAATCACACTATCTCCTGGCTGTGGCAACCATTTTTATTTTCTAAGGAGGTCTTGAGCACATGCCACAGTAATGCTCAACTGTATCCTGCGTCAGGTACCCACCCTGTGAAAGTGGGAGGCATCTGCCTTTAAGGTTGAGGCTACAGAGAGGGGTCTGAGCATGCTCTGTATAAAGCCCAGGTCCTGCTTTGTACACGAGCTCCTGGCTTGTCCCACTGGTGAGTTGAGCCTTGCTTTTTTGGTTTAGCTCCTTTCTGTGGAAGGTTGTGTGTGGTGGAAGATGGCTTTTTAGGGTGGGAAGCATTATTGTGCTGCAATGGTTGACTTTAATGGTTTGCTGTTATTGCTTTCTGGTGCAGAAGGTAACTTTTTTGTTTCGTTTTGTGGTGCTGCTTTTTTTTTCTGGTCTTTTTCATACAAAGGTGAGAAGGGGAAAAACGTGGTGAAGAGTGGAAAGCACAAGGTTGGAACGAGCTGAAATGGCTTGTTTTCCTTGGGCTTTGCCACTGGTTCTTGAGGTGCTGCTCTGTGAAAAGCAAATGCTTTGCCAACTGGTTTTATTTGTTGGTTTTCTTTTGGTTTTCTTTTCTGGGGAGGTGGACAGGGTGTTTGTTTTTTTTTTTTTAAATTAATTTCTTTATTGTGAAGCTTAACATTCCTAGGGAGACTCTGATGTTGGTTACTGTGTAGGCACAGCTGAAAATCGCTGCTTTCGTTGGCAGTTTGCAGAGCTCTTGCTCATCTGCATGATGGCAAAATGCATCAGCTGGGATGCAGCCCCACTCTGCTGGTTTATCAAAGCTGTGTAGTCAAGGTGATCAGCAGAAAGCAAAACAATTTTGAAGCAGGAGGCTTCAGAGATCTTGAAAAGTAATCTTGGAAAGTGTTTTCACCTGTTGTATGCCTTGTGGCTTCACCCACTCCTGTAAAACAAGCAGATTGGGACTGGGGTAGATCTTGATGGGAGCAGGTTTGCATTGCTGGCTAAAACTCATCCTGGGGCTCAGTGGTTGAAGAACAGTGCCAGTAAACCTTGCACTCTGGGTAAGAATCTGCATCTCGCAGAAGATTTAAACGGCTGTTTTTGTTAATTAAAGATCCCTTTATGGCTTTTAAAGGAGGGGACTCAGGAGTGCAATGTCTATTCAGCTCACAGCTTGATGGGGCCATAAATCCTTCTGCAGTTCTACCTTGGTGCACTTACAGCTTGTGGCAAGCTGCCTGCGGGCTCCTTCAGCAGTTAGTGAAGTGAATTAAGAGTCTAGTTTGTAGGCTTAAAGCAGAAGGTGGGCTCGACAAGGCTTACCACCATGCTTTGTGTCGTTCTAGTCAGTGGTTTGGTGCAAGAGGCTGCGATCAGCAGCACTATCTCCTGTGATGCATTTTGGGATGAGTGGCTGCGGGTGAAAGGGGTTTTGTTTGAGCATCCCTTAATAAAAGGAGCAATTTGAACAATGCAAGCTCCTGCTCTCTTGTGATTAACTTCAGGCACTCAGGGATTATTTTACTGGAGAGGAGGGTTTGCTGATGTGGGAGAGAACAATTAGCTGGAGAACTGAAATTCATGAGCAGATGGATCCTGCCCAGGCTTCAGTTGTGTTATTTTCTAGCAGAAGAGCAAATTTGCTTCATTTGGTGGACTCGTTAGTAGACAGAGGCTACTCTGCTCTGTTAAAGGTTGTTTGTTAAGGAAAGTGGCACTGGGTTTATATTTTAATACGTGATGATAAGGGAAGGAAACAGCTTGGTTTGCATATGGGGAGTGTTGAAGGGGTCTCACTTTTACTTCCATGGAAGTAAGAGTTAATCAGGAAACTTCTCATTTGGTATAGGGAAATATGCCTTTTTGGCTGTCGGGTAAAATCTGCTGTAGCTCTTGTGACCTGGGACTGCCCAGCTGTGGGCAGGAGCATTGTGGCATGCAGCAACATCATTGCTCTGAGGCTTTTTGAAGGAGAGGCAGTCTCTTTCATGACAACTACTTGGTGAATTCGATTCCTGTGGAAGTAGCAGTGATGTGATATAGCTGTCTGTTGTCACTACCTAGGGACTTAGTTCCTAATAAGTGTTAAGTCTGAATGCAATCAGTGGCAGAGCAGCTGGGGGCCTTCACCTTAGGGGCTCACTGTATTGATGTTCTGCTCCAAAGCTTGTTGTGTCACTGATGCTCAGCTTATATAGCAGCTTCGGGGCAGGTCTGCTGGTCTGGGTTTCAATATGGCACTCCTGAAAGTGCCTTACAAGACTGAAAGCCTGAAAGGAGTAATTTCTAGTACTTTGTGGGATAACTGCTGTTCTCGGAGGACTTGTGATTGTTTATGTTCAGTGTGGGCATGCTGTCATGTTGGTGAGAGCGCTATTAGCTATAGTGCTTGGGTATTTTAAAGGGGTTTTTTAATCTTAATCACAGGAAAAAATGGATGAGTAACTGAAGTGATGCTGAAGCTTTCTACACTGAGAGCAGCGAGGCACTGGCACAGGTTGCCCAGAGAGGTGGTGGTGCCCCATCCCTGGAGACAGCCAGGGTCAGGCTGGAACACAGCTCTGAGCACCTGATGGAGCTGTGGGTGTTTCTGTTCACCTCAAGGTTGAACCAGGTGGCCTTGAAGGGGCCATTCCGACTCATACAATTCCATGATGTATTTGACATGTGCTTAGCTGTGGCTCTAGAGGCTGAAGCTGCTTGATTTCTCTTTGCTTAGGAAAATTATCTGCCCTTTTTGAAGAGTGTGCAGTTTGTGAGCAGCAGAAGTGAGGAAATCCCTGCTTTTGCAGCTCCGAGTCATTCTGAAAGCATGAGAGGCCTTATAAATTCAATATAAAGAGCTGGATTCCCCCTCTAGCAGCAGTCAACAATAGATGCTTCAGGAATAAGTAGAGGAAAAGAACAGCTGTAGTGTGATCTTCCCTCTCAGACACTTTTTTAATTTTTGCTGCTTAATAAATCTGACTTTTCCATACATCTTATTCTGATGTCTTAAACATCACCAAATGCACCAAAACAAATGTTAATCCGATTCTCTGTGGAATCCAGTTTTAGTCCTGTCTGCTGTCACAGCTGCTCCTCGGGCAAGGGCTGCTGCTGTTTCCTTGTGTTGTGCCCGAAGGACTCTTCCATGAAAATGTGGGGTGCCTTCATCCTCACGGGAGGAAAAGCAGTCACCTGACTGATGGTTGAATTAAAAGCTGAACTGAGATCTCAAGTGCAAATATATTTGAGAAATTCCCCCGTGCATCCCTGCAGCCGTTGAGTATTTTGACCCAGGCGTAAGAACTGCTGCGTTTGAATTTAGCAATGGGGCAGTGGGATGAGAATGTGCAGCTGTGGGAGGCGTGAGTGCTCCAGCTTCGTCACCACTCCTCTAGGGCCCACCTATTTCTGTGAGGCTTGTGGGAGCTTAAGGGGATAAAAATGGCTGAGGTAATTAGCGGATCCGGCACTGAGCAGCTGGGGTGGCTCAGAAATTATTGCGGCTGTGAAAGGTGGTTGAGAAGCAGGCATATCCTGATGTGATATAACTGAACTCCTTGATTAAAAGGAAAAATAGTTATCTTGTTGTTTTTTAATATATTTTAGTTCAAGGCTTGAGCTGCAGACATAGATGGAGTCACCTAATCGCTTTAGGTTGTGCAGTGCAGAGTGGGGAGTTGTGCACCATTTAGGTACTCTATACCTGCTGCACAACATTCCCTACTCTACGTGAGAAGTTCCAGGAGCAAAATGGAGAGGTTTTTTCTTTCTCTGGGATTTCTTGTGATGCATCATTCCAGTAGACACTGAGATGTATTTAACTTATTTAGAAGAGTGGTTGAATTCTCTGCTGTCTAAATACAGCATCTGCAGCAGTGTGGAATGTGTGTTGTACAGCTGTGAATGTTACAGGCATTCAGTGTGTCTCCTTTTTCACACAATAGCTTCTATTTATGGGTTTTCATCAAGTTGGACTCTTGCATTCAACATATCTTTGTGTGTTTTCTTTTTTCTTTCTTTTTTTTTCTGCTTTTCTTTCATAAGGTTTGTAGAAACTCCGAGCCATTTCTCCTGGAAGGAGAGTTTCTACCGCTCAGCCATGTCCCAGAGCTCCCAGCCCAGGGAGTTCCTCAGCCCAGAGATGATCCAGCATATCTGGGACTTCCTGGAACAGTAAGTTGCCCTTCAGTGGGATCTATGGAAGAAGGTGTTTAGGAGCAAGACAGCCCTGCAGTTTTGTTGTCTGGGGTGGTTTTGGGATTTCAGTCTTCTGTATCTCCAGGTCCAGCCATGGTCAGGGACTGTTGCTAGCATGGAGGGTGGTGGAGTGGGTGCTCACTGGGAATTCCTTCATTGATCCTGAGACTGGTTTAATGGTGGCACCCAAGTCCTGGGGAACACCCTGACACACAGGGAGTTGAGGGGAATGGGATTTGGCCCATTTTAACTGCACTGCTTTGTTCCTCATAGGCCAATATGCTCAGTTCAGCCAATTGATTTGAACTTCATTGATGACCCATCTGAAAATGGCCCTACAAACAAGATAGAGATCAGCATGGATTGCGTCCGTCTGCAGGATACGGAGCTGAGTGACCCAATGTGGGTGAGTAGAGAGGATTTCTTTAACCCCTAGAGGAAGGTGATTCTTTGCAGAAGCCATTCCTGCTGCATTGCTCTGAGATTCTTTTCCCCTTCCTGGTGGCTCTGTGGCTGCTTTCTGTTGTCTTCTGCCCATGGAAGCTGTTTGGGAGTGTGGCTCTACCAGGTGACTGTGGTGGTGTCAAGCTGTGGTGCCAGTGCTTGTGGCTAGCTGAGATGCTGAGAGAGCCCTTTTTAGCCTTTGGGGCTGCCAGAGGGAACAGGTTGACTCTTCACCAGCTCCTCTCCTGCTAAAGCAAGGGCAGCGAAGGGATGAGGCAGGTAAACATGTGAAAGAGCCATCTCTTGTGCTTGTCCAGGTGCTTAGCTGTCCCTGCTCTCTCCTTGCTTAGAACTTTGTTTTGTGGCCCAAAGGTTAAAATAGTTCTGAGCGCTAAACTGGCTTGAAGACCAGATGAATGAAAACTTGCTTTCAGATCATGGTTGTTTTGTTCTTTTCTCCCCATGTTTTTCCAGATTCTTAGCTGTGGATGTCTTGCCAGTATCCTTTCTGGCTGGAATGTGTATCAAACCCTGGTGTGTGCCTTTGGCACAGAGTGGCCAGTTCCTTCTTACCAATAGCTCTGGTGAAGAAGCCAGATGCTGCTCTTGCAGGCTGGTGCAGGTGGTGTGTCAGGAGTTTGAGCTATTTGTTTACACTTTCCTGGGCCTTAGGTACTGCAGGGCAAAAATCCTATGTGCTTTGGAGTCAGTTGCTTTCTAAATGTTCTTGTTCCTCTGTACTTTTGTCCTGAGAAACTACAGTTTAATTTCCTAGCTAATCAACAAATGTCTTTTGTGTTCAGCCATGGTGTGTTTGCAGCACTGGTGTCGGTGAGACCTAAACCCAAAGGTTTGCATCTGCAGAGGAAGAACTCCCAGATTACACTGACTGCACTCCTGGGTACCAGAACGTTTGACCTGTTTCTGCCTGCCTGATGTGACTGCTGAAACAGGACAGGGTAGTGTGTGTGGAACTGCAAAGGGTGGAAAGGCCATTTTGAGTTTGGGTGTCTGTGTAGCTAATGTGAAGCAGCTACTCCAGCCACTCTACAGAGGGACAGCTGATTCCTGTCTGGTTATCTCTTGATTTGGGGTGGGCTCAGAGGGGCAGCACTGAGTGTGCAAGCCTGCAATGTGAGTCTGAAAGGATACTTCTCAAATTTCCTTGTTGCCCTACTAAAGCTCCAGTAAAATGGCATCTCTCTCTTCAGCTTTTTCAAGAGACTGTCTGTGTTTAAGAGGGAATATCTGCTTTTCAAATTGGGCTGGCAGTTTTCTATTTGAACTAGTTATGCCCCCATGTATAACAATCCCTGGTACTTTAAAGTAGCTTTGCACCTTCCATGTCTACACCTGGACTTGCTGTGTTGAGTACTAGCAAAGCCTTCATATCTCTGGCTTCTCTGAGCTGTCAGCAGTGCACAGCAGCAGCTGCCAGGCTATCTTGGAGCTGTTGTTCAAAGTCTCCCTCTCCTGTCTGTGGTGCAGTGAAACATCAGTGGAAAATCCCTTCTTGTCCTCTCTGACCACTGCTGGAGTCAGTTCTGGGGCTGGGAAAGCAGGGCAGGCAGCTTTAGCTGTGAAATTATTTCTTGCTTATGATGCCAGCCTTCCAGGAGGCATCTCTGAGGAGGCCAAGATGCATGGTAACATCTTTAAGAGTTTTTCACCCCAGTGATCAGCCAAAGGGGGAGTGGGGAAATTCCATCCCATCCCTGCCTTTACTGTTAAGCAACAGGTCAGGCGCTGCTCGAGTCTGGGTGTCCCCATGTTCATTAATAAAAGTTCCAGTTTGCCTTCACTGGAAGACAGAACCTTTGCTTAGTTGAGTGCTGCACAAAAGCCTTCACAAAGTGAAATATGCATTGCAAACCTGTGCAAACAGCCTCTCTTTTAAAAGGAGGAAAGCTCTTTTTACTCCCCTTAGCACCACCACCACCTCCCTATAAATTTGCAAACATCCCTGACAGGTGACAACTCCCCCTTGCAGAGAAGTCTGTGTTTGCTTTGCTGTTTCTGGGGCTTGCAGCTTGCACTGGCAGAGAATGTGTAGCCTCAGGCAAGGTGTTTGCTGTTTGTCGGCTTTAATCTGAAATACCTTACAACCCTCTTCCCCTCCAGCTTCTCTTTTCCTTTGGATAGCTTCGGGGCAAGAGCTCCCCTTGCACCTGTCTCTCTGTAACCTCAGCCATGTCACTCCTAGACACGAGGTGCTGCACGCAGCTGATTGCAGCAAAGAGTTGAAGAGGGCAGATAAACACAAAGGAATGCAGCAGAAACAGAGGGGCCCTGAAAGATGAACAGTGAGATCAAGGCAGAGTGCTTTTCATTATTAGATTTGTCTCTGGAAAAGAGCGAGGCCAGCTTGTCTCTGCGATGTACCACTGTGTGATATCTTAAAAGGCTCATGGTGAATGAGACTGGTTTATTCAAAGCAGTTGTCCTTCTGTGGACTTTAAAGAGATCCCAACTGAGGTTTGAAATAAGCATTGTGCTTTCATGCAACTTGCAGCTGAAAAACGAATCTTCCAGCCTTAAGAGATGTTTCATCCTTGATCCTAAGAGTTTTGCTGGCAAGAGCTGTGATTTTATTTTGATTTTGGTACAGTTGCCTGCAAGCAACAGAACTGGTAGGGGAGAATGAGCATCAGTGTTCAGAGCAGTGCCCTAAGAAAACTGTCCCACTGGTGGGCTTCTCTGCTGGGTCCTTCTCTGCTGAACAGCCACCAGTTGCATCCATTTCTTTTTAAGAGCAACTCTCTCTTGGGAGAGAGCTGAAGGAGAAGATGGTTACAAAGGAACCCCTTATGTCCAAGCTACAACCATGTCTGTTGCTCATCTGTGACCTTGCAGTTCTCATGCTCTTTCTTCTTAAGGAAGAAATATTCTTCCTGCATTCTGTGGAAGAAAGGAGTGGGAGAAAATGGCAATTGGCATTACCTTAGGGTGAGATGAGCTGGAGGGGACAGGAAGAGAATTTGTGAGTCTGGTGTGAAATTAAACAGTCAGCAGCCTTCCCCTTGTCTCGTGCCTTGTGACCAGCTCTTTCACAATGTCCTGTGCAGCTGGTTTCAGGATGCCTGTCTGTGAGGCTGCTGGCTGTGCCTCTTTCTCTCCCATAGCTTTAACCACAAGCAGGCTGGGAAGCCCCAGCAGCAATCTACCTCCCCATGTAGCAGAGTAGGAAGGCTGGTGGTCCCTATAGGCAGAGATAGCATTTAGAATCTGCCATGGCCCTGGTGTGGCGTGGAGCTGCAGGCACCCAAAAAGGTAAGTGGTACGTGCATCCTATGAGCCACTGTTGGGTTTCACCCAAGAAGATGCTGCTCCCTGATCTCCTTCATGGCCTAGGATAGAGCTTGTGACTGTGGGGCCTATGGTGGGGTGATGGCCAGCTCCCTGAGTTGCAGAGGGATGGTGCCTCCAAGGATTCTCCTGTGGTGCTTGAAGCCAGATGTTGTATGAAAAACAGATTTCTTCTGACTGATGGAGCTCCCTGGAGCTGTGGAGGGAGGGGTCTGAGGGCTCCTCAAGGAATGAGCGTGTGGCAGGGCAATAACCCCTCCACTGCCCTGGAGCCCTTATGACTTTCCTTCACCCCTCAGAAGTCCTTTTAAGTCAGCAGTGTTAAGGGATGCTAGCTAGACCCAAACAAAGCTACTCTGGGCTAACAACTTTAGCAGGAGGCTTCCTGAAAAAGTGTGTTCTGTGGGGCTTGCAGAGCCCGGAGATATCCTGTTGTCCTGCCCCTGTCCCAGCAGCATGTGGGGGGCTCTAGGAACCGTGAGGGTCCTCACTAATGGGAGCAGGCGTGCTGTCCTGAGTGATGGAGCAGCTTGGTCCCCCTCCCCCAGGTACATACCTTCCTTTTGTGCCCCTGAGCAAGCCGTCCTCCTCGGCCCCTTGCCTAACCAGTTCAGTGGAATGCTTTTTTTTGCAGACAGTTGCTTTGGTCAGAGTTTTCTTAACCTGTATCTATCTGTCCCTCCCTGCAAAAGGGGGAGAAAATTCCTTGCTTTTATTTTTATGTCCTTCCTCACCTGCTGTCATGGGTGTCTGCTTTGCCTTGGTTAGGCACCGCTGTGCTCCCACTGCAGGACTGATGGTGTGTGCACTTCAGTCAGGGAGGGTGTTTTGGGTTTGAGTCTGCAGCTCAGGCACTGGGTGTCCCAGACCTGGCGAGTTGAGAAGTTTTGGAAGTGCAAAGTGTGCTTTAAGTTCTGTAACCTTGCTGCTCAGGCCTAGATGGAGGAAAAAATGGGCTGTGGGAGAGGCAGGATGCAGCCTGTATAGGGCACGGATGTGTCAGTGCTCTCAGCCTCAGTCCTCACACTGCAGATCTGTGTTGGCATTTGACAGGGAGCAGGAGACCTTTTTCTAGTTATCTTCAACCTGCTGTAGGTTTTTTGGAGGTGCCACCCTAATCAGCTTGTGCAGGGCAGCTGGGGAGCAATGGGGCTGAGGCCCTTGGGTAGCTGGTGGCTCTCTATGGCATAGTCTTAACTTTTACCATTGTATGAAACAGTTCCGTAATTTATATTTGGTGGCCATACACTAAATTCCTGGCTACCTAAGAGCCTATCAACTGATTAGGATAGATCAGGATCTTGTTATGAACAAGAATGCAATAGACAGACAAACAAAATTGACCCTTTGTCCAGAAGAATTTATAGTGTCTGCTGCATCCTATCTAGTGCTTTAATATTAACGGGCAGGCTCTGATCTCTGTTAGTTTAATTGCTTACTTAAAAGTGTTTGCTGTGTCAGGAGAAGTGAGCTCTGCTTGCTGCAAGGTAATGGTTGAAGAAGAGAATGGAAGGTGATGACAGGATGGTGAGACTGAAATGAGGAGGATGTCTCTGTGCTCCAACAGCAGGCAGGGAGCAGGCACAGTATGGCTGTGTGGTGCAGGAAGTTTGTGCAGCACTCTGTGCAGAGGCTGGCAGCATGTCATGTATACTT